AGTGTCAACTGCGCTTGGGTTAGAGGAGCTGGCGCACGTGTCCTTTTACCCGCATCTAATGCCGGTTTGATGAATAGGAGACACCATATGATCCAGTAACCTTGTGGTTCTGTGACCTACATAATTTGCAGGAAGAAAGGGACCCGTGGGGCCAGAGTCACTTTGGAAGCTCAGTTAGTAAAGGGCAAGACCTGGAAGGTTTGCATGGCTAGGATTTATGTCATCTAAGGAGAAAAGGGTATCCCTGGTGTCGAACAAGCAAATAATTGCCTGGTTTGTTTCATCCACCAACAAGGATAATTCATGATGGTTGCCAATCACCAGCCTTGGGCTGAGTATAGAAACTGCACCCTATTGACAGGGAAGTCTGGCACCACCACCTACCCTTGTTTACATAAGCCCATTTCCTCCTTATCCGTTGCCCCCTGCACCGAGCTGTATACTTGGATACAAAGCTAAAGTTCAGCTTGAGCCTTTTGACTGATGCTTAAAAGACAGACCGCCTATTCCCACCCCTTCCACTGAATGGCCCATAGCAGTGCTGGGAGAAGTAGGTTGGATCTAGTTTGAGAGGACTTCCCAGGGGAAAAAAAATGGACTTGGAGCTTTATATGAAAAGATAGATTGGAAGGAAGCAGGGTTATGTACATGCCAAATATCAAGAACAGCTTGAGTACAGGTATGGAGGTGGTGGATAACAAGTATGGGGGAGAGTAAGGACGCCTACCTGGTGGGTCAGGTAAGCTTGGGTAGTTGGAGCCATTGTACTAAGCAGCCATCTGCAGCCCTGCCAGTCATTCTCGGCTCCTACTTCTCTCAACCTCCCTACCCCCACATTCAATCAGCCACCAAAACCTTTAGGAATCCGTCTCCTGAATCTGCCAGATCCATTCCTTTCCATCCAACCCATCTATGCTCTGGTCCAGGCCACTGTTTCTCATTTGAGTTACTGCAATAACCTCCTTGCTGTCATTCGCCTCCTATCCATCCTCCACACTGCAGCCAGATTGATCTAAAACTGATCATGTCAGTTTACATCTTAAATGGCCCTGCATTATCACCAAATTAGACCCATATTCCTTAAATTGGTATTCAAGGCCAGTCACAATCTTACTCCTACTGATCTCTCCAGCCTTCTCTCCCTTTGCTCCCTTCTACACACCCTTCACTTCTATCAGATAATTTTCTATTCTCCAGATATACCCTGTACTTTTTGCCTGTCTTTGTGCTGTCACTGCTATTTAGAATACACACCAGCTTCTCCCTCCTCACATCAGCCTCTCAGCTTCCTTCCTAGCCTTAAAGACTCAGCATCCAAGAAGCCTTTTCTAATTTAAGAACTTTTATCTAGCCCCGTCATTGCACTAATCACAGTACAATCAATTTTTGTCCATGAGTTCTCTGCTTCTCTAAACTGTCAAATGCAGACAAATCCCCCATAAACACACATCACACAGCATCAATAGAAATTCAATGATTGAATTAATGAGATGGAGGCTGGGGTGAGATACATGAGGCCTTGAATGCCAGGCTAAGGTATGAATTTTCTCTATTCCAGGTGGCATGGTACAATGCACTCCTGCCTCCGACCTTCCACCTGCCTCTACCAGGACCCACCCTGGCCTTCCTGGTACTCAGCACACCTGCCATGTTTGATCAGGCCCTCAAGCCCTTCCTGCAGAGCTGCCACCTCCAACCACTGACTGACCCTGTAGACCAGTGTGTGGCCTACCACCTAAGCCGCATTAGAGAGGTGAGCAAGGCTCATATAACCCACCAGCTTCCAAACCCACAACTGCTTCCAGCTCCTCCAAGCTCAGTGCAGGATCTAGACCTACCTAGAGCCAGGAGCCACTTTCCAGGTTGGATGATATCCTAAAGCCAGCCTGACATTGTGACCTCTCCCCATTCTGCCTTCTCAACCCAGGTCTGGCCACCTTCCTCTAGTAGTCCCCAGATCTGACATCAATCTCATTCACCCTACACTGATGGGCAACTATCTGAACCTCAAACCAGACTTCCCTTGGCCTCCAAGTGAAATAAGAATAAGCCCAACATCCCCCAGGCATCTCCAACCTGTCTTTACCCTACACCTGGAAGCTTTATGCTGACTTTGGGGCCATTTGAAGACAAAATATTCTGGCACCACACACACACACACACACTCACTCACACTCACTCACACACTCACACTCTCTCCCTCTCTGTCTCCGCCCTCCCTCCTCTCTCCCCCGCTCCCCACAAAGCTGAGCCATCTTACTCCACACTGGGACTGTGGAGGGGAGAGCCAAGTCATCCTTCAAAATGGATGTTTCTGAGCAAAACTGTATTTCCCTTCAAACATGGGTCCTCCTGGACAGAATATAATTTTTGTCACACTGAAGTCCCCCACCCCAAGTTTAAGGTCATGTTTTCCCTTCAAATGTGACTTCTAAGGACAGGAGTGTCCTTCTAAGGACACTTTAACACAAATTAGGGTTCTCTAGGACAAGGTCAAGATTCCTCTTACGCTGAAAGCATCCATTTTGTCCTCTATCCCAGACCCTCCCAGAGCTACAGATGGAAGTCATCGCTGACTATGAAGTACACCCCAACCGGCGCCCCAAGATTCTGGCCCAGACAGCAGCCCATGTGGCAGGGGCTGCTTACTACTACCAACGACAGGATGTGGAGGCTGATCCTTGGGGGACCCAGGTCAGAGGGCAAGTGTGAATGACTACAGATAAAGAGAAAATGGTGAAGGCCCCTCAAGATACTAGGTCCCACATTCCTCCACCTCCCATGGGTCAAGGAGTTTGTAGACACAATCCAGGACAAAGGTTTGCCCTACCCCACATGCTTTCTGGAGTCTACCTGGGGTCACATCAGGTCAGAGAACCCAGTCTGTTCATAAAACCGTTACAGGATGGAGGGGGCAGAGATTAGATGGTGAGACTGGAAGTTGAGACTCAACTTAAGAAACCCTTATGGCCAGAGTGAATTCATGAACAGGGTTGCCCAGAAGGAATGAGGAAACCTAGCCACAAGAGGCTCACATATGGAGTCAGTCAAGTATCAATAAGTGAACAAGCCTAGTTTGCAGTGATAGTAGGTGAACTTGGTGCCAGTGAGATCCATGACCTTGCTTTTCTTTACCCTCTCTCCAGCACATATCAGGTGTATGCATACATCCTCGATTTGGGGGCTGGTTTGCAATCCGTGGGGTGGTACTGCTTCCAGGAACAGAGGTGCCAGATCTGCAACCCACTAAACCCCTTGACTGTGTACCAGCAAGAACTGACCGAATCACCCTGCTTGAAGGTTTCAATTTCCATTGGCGTGACTGGACTTACCGGGATGTTATAACACCCCAGGAACGCTACTCTGAAGAGCAGAAGGCCTATTTTTCCACTCCACCTGCCCAACGCTTGGCCTTGTTAGGCTTGGACCAATCCTCAGAGAAGCCTAGCTCTGCATCCCCCGACCTTCTCTTTACCACACTCATACCCAAGAAGCCTCAGAATCCCAGCAGAGCTAGGGACTGGCTCAGCCCCACGGTCTCACCACCTGAATCCCCTGGCCCTTGATAGCTTTCCTCCCCTGTGGGATCCCTATTTACAATGGTACTTGCTAGGACTTGGCTTTGGCAAGAGATTTTAGATATTTTGGTAAGTTATAGTAGAGATCTTCAATTAAGATAAGGCTTTAGAGCTTAGTCAAAATCAGAGATCAAAGACCAAGGCAACTGATATGTCAAGTATATTTCAGTAGAAGACAAAAAAAATACCAAGCCAGATCTAGAAATCCCACTCTCTTTGGAATATGAAATTACTGACTTAAAGTTTTTCTGTAGTGCTCAAAGATGCTACTTGTTACAGGATCTAAGGGGAAACCATCCCCTAGTAATGGTTTAATGCCTCAGTGTTGTGGGGTGAATACTAAATACATGTATGTAAAGCATTTCTGAAACAGTGTCTAACATAGTAAACAATGTCAGCTGTTACTGAGTGCCATACATCCTGGGAGTCCTGTACTGCTGCTGACAGGTCTGTCTGAATGCTCAAGGGATACATAGGCTGGGGTAACTGATAAAGACAAGTGTCTGAAAGGGCACTGATACACTGAAGGAGCTTCATTTCTGAATCTGCCCTACCTTTAAGGATACAGGCAGAACCCACTTCCCCATCCCTACCCCAGCCTACATCCCACAGGACAATGTGATGAATGAGGACCAAATAAGGACTACCCTCAAATCAAGGCAAGAACCCAAGGAAGCAGAGAAGTACTCAGCCCTGTGGCTGATACCAAAAGCCCTACCCTACAAACACCTGCCCTGTTTTTGTTTCCCCCTCCCCCTATCAGTTCCAAAGGTACAGAGCCTCCTCTAATTCTGACCATTTAGAGCCAGTATCAAGGCTTTTATGAGAAGCCAAGCTTCAGGCTCTGAGCAGCCTTCCCAACAGTGTAAAGGATAAATGCCCAAGTGATCAATGTCGCTGGGGCCTTAACCTACAACATAGCCTTGGCCAACACTATAGCAGGTCTTGCTCTTCTTCCCAGATAACACCCTGGTTCAGTTCCATCACCCATGTCTACTTGCATTTCCCCTCTATTTCTTGATTCTAAGGCAGCTCTCCTCATTTTCCCCTAAGGAAGGAAAGCAGAGTAAATTCAAAGGACCCCTAAAATGAAGAAACAACAAGGTCTCAGTTCCAGTTTAATAGAAACTACAAAAGGTCAAAAGTAATGCCCCACTACTATACACATCTGTTGGCCTGCCCCATAGCAAAGTTCAGGCCATTTCCCTAAGAAGAAAGGCTGGCCTCCCCAACCCTTGCAGGAAAGGCCAGTCCTGTCCCATACCACATCTGAGCTAAGTCTAAGATCTTGTGTTTTAAACATGACAATAGTACAAGAGAAGTTTTGTTCTCATGACTGTCTACTGCAGCCTGATCCTAAAACGGCCCAGCACTCATTTCTGCTTAGAGAAATACTCTTTGCTCTTCTGGACATCAGGCTTGATGGTATCACTGCCAGGCTTCCAGCCAGCTGGGCACACTGCAAGAGAAAGGTATCACTAATTAATAACCTGCTCAATGGTGAACTCCACCCTCCTCCCATGGACAAATGAATGCCTCAAAACCAAATCTGAGCCCTATAGAGCCTGAACTTTCAGGCATCAGAAAGCTTAATTCATAGTATGTCTAAGATCACTAAGCCTTTTAGTGCAAGGTTAACAATAAGCAATTTAATCCTTACCACAGCCCTAATACTATTATATCTAATTTATTCATATAGCACCTGAAATTTAAAGAAATTAACCAACAGCTTCAATCATATGCTTTGTTCTAAAAATCTATCTAAAGCATGTATGGCAAGATTTGTTAATAGTACATCTTAGGTAAATGAGTATTCATGCTCTCTATAATTATATGTATGCTTCAAATACATCTTTTTTTTAAATAAGGTTAAATGCTCTTCAAAAAATGGTGCTAAGACAGCTGGATTTCCACATGCAAAAGAATGAAACTGGACCCCAACTTACAGAAAATTAACTCGAAAACAGTACAATGACCTAAATTTAGGAACTAAAACCATAAACCCTAGAGAAAACGGAGTTAAAACTCTTTAACCTTGGATTTGGAAATGTATTCTTGGATATAATGTTGAAAGCACAAAAACAATTTAAAAAAAAGATAATTAAAATTAAGAACTTTTATACATCAAAGACACTTGAGAGTAAAGACAACTCACAGGAGAAAATATTTATGAATCATATCTGATAAGGGATTAAAATATATAAAGAATTCCCACAACTTGAGAACAAAGAGACAACTCAATTCAAAAATGGGCAAAGGATTTAATAGATATTTCCCAAAGATACACAAATGATCAATAAGCACATGAAAATGTGCTTAGCATCACCAGTCATTAGAGAAATGCAAATCAAAACCACAATTAGATACCACATCCACTAGGGTAGTTTACAGTATAAAATATTTTTTAAAGGTTGTCGGTAAGGATGTGGAAAACCCTTGGTATATGCTGGTAGTAACGTAAAATGGTGCAGCTGCAATGGAAAAGTTTGGCAATTCCTCAAGCTTAAGAGAATTACCACATGACCCAGCAATTCCACTTCTATGCATATACCCAAAATAACTAAAAACAAGGACTCAGACATCTGTTCACTTCTCGCAGTTTAAGTCACAACAGCCAAAAGGTAGAAAACAACCCTGTATCCCAGATATGGATGGATACACAAAATGTAGTATATACACACTGGAATAATTATTCAGCCTTAATAAAGAATGAGGTTCTGGTATATGCTACAAACAGATGAACCCTGACAATATGCTAAAGAAACCAGGCACAAATGGACAGATATTTCATGATTTCAATTATATGAAATGTCTAGAATAGCCAAATTCATAGACACAAAATACAGTGACCAAGGGCTAGGAGAGGGGAATGGGGAGTTACTGCTTAATGGTTACAGCCTATTTGGGGTAATGAAAAAGTTAAGGAAATAGTGGTAATGGATGTACAACACAGACTGTAATTAATACCACTAAACTGTACACTTAAAGTGGCAAATTATGTTGTATATATAAAATCACAATAAAAATTGATTTTAAAAAACTTAAATTCTGATTTGTCCCCATACTTAAGAAAAAAAGCTAAATAAATGACAAGGCCAGGACTGTGTAAACCTGTAACACTAAGCTGTTTTCTTCTTCCTCAGTGTTCTTTAACTCTGCCAAACTGAATAGTCTGAAATACAAAGGGACAGGATGTCCACAGAAGGCCCCTGCATGTTTCACTCAGTCTGCCTTTTAGCCCTTGATAAGCAAAAGATCTGAGTTTGAATCTTTCACACACATGCAGAAAGCATAGCCTTCAACGTTTTCCTACAATCCTGAGCTAACAATGCTCCTTGCGCTAACCTGAGGAAAGTGAGCCAAGGGGACCAATTGCTATTTTCCACTTCTGTTTACTGTTTGTCTTCTAAGAGATGTAGTTGTTAAAGTCCAGGAACGGAGCAGCAAAGTGAGAGGAGAAGACCCTTTTACCTTTTAGTTCAAGGATGTCATAGCCTCAATCCAGCTCTCAGGGAACAAGGTATGGATGGAACAAGTGCTAAATGGCAGATCCAGCTGCTATTACTTTCCTGAAATCCTCATTTGATTGTTAACAGTTATTGTTTAGTGGCACCAAGGGGTTAAAACACAGGTCCTAAGCAAACCAAGCTGCAGAGAACAAAGAGCAGCATGAAAGCAAAGACCAGGCCAAAGAGAGCCAAAGTTTGGCAGTAGGTGCTAGCAGGAAACCAAAAATATTGTCTAGAAAGAATATATAAAATTTAGAAAAAACAGCCTAATGACAATGACACAAAGAAGGAATAACAAATCAGAAAAGAAAGACCATGCCAACTTAGTCTCTTAGGCACTAAAACCTCATGGCACTTAAGACCACATCAGTAATTAGTGACAGGACAGGAAGATCCACACTTGGATGTTTCATTCATATCCAACAGTGTTGGTTTTTCAAAATCAACATGGAGTCCAGCAAAACTGACTTGAGTCCCACATAAACCAGCTCCTAAGTGCTTAAGTACCATGACTCTCCAAGGAGAAAATGACACCAGTCACGGTAATCTCAGTCAAAGACAACTTCCCCAACACAGAAGGCCCCAACACAGAAGACCCTAAACAGGGCTTTTTCAACATTTTAATTACCTAAGAAAAGGAAGGCTTTTAATTTGGATTCCAATATTTACTGTAAGTACTGTGTTTAAAGTAGTTTATTGGTCCTTGAAAATAGTTATGAAGTGTAAACAGACTCATGGACATGGACAATAGACTAGTGGTTACCAGAGCGTAAGGGAAGGAGAGGGTAGGTAGATGGGGTGAAAGGGGTCAAATATGTGATGACAAATCCAACTATGAGCAGCGAACACACAATGCATTTTATATATATATATATACATAAAATGGCCTTACTGTTATATATATATATATATATGGCCTTACTGTTGAATTGTGCACCTGAAACTTACTGGATTTCGTTTACCAATGTCACAATAAAAATTTTTTAAAAATAAAAATAAAAATAGGAATGGAGCAAATACAAATACAAATTATGTTTTACACCTGAAAAAAATAAACAGGGTTACTTGTTAAATAAATACATGTAATATTCCCCCCACATTGAGTACTTAGGTATTCACAGGCTCTCAGATGGTAACTATCTTATTATAAGCCAGAAATCTATGCCCATTCTAATTGAATGGGAAGCAGCAAACACCAAGAATCTGAAGCAGCAAGCTTCACAGTCATGAAAGCTAGGGTTCATTAGTCTAGCATATACGCAAGGCCCTTCACCGGAAAATCCAGTAACAGGCAAATTTTGCCAACTCTCCTGTCTTTGTGAACTTCATCCTTCACCAGGGGGCAGTCTCAGCAGCTCTCTGCTCCTTCAATCCATTCCCAATACAAGCTTCTGCAATGGTGCCTTCTGGTATCGGTGCTCAATGATTTCTATTAGACCTCTACCCTAACCAAGGTAGCAACTTTGGTGTCCCTTAGACACCACTAATCTAGACTAACAACTTCCATCTTCTTTAAATCATAAGATCAGAGCTGAATGGGCCTTAGAAAGCTAGTTTGAACTACTTCTAAAGAAAAAAAATGAAATGCAGTAAGCAATTTGTCCAAGTTCACCCGTCCCCTTGATCTGCTATCAACTTAATCACAACTATCTTGTCCTCAATTACATTAAGCTTGGGGCGGGGGAGGGAGGGAAGGGGAGGCTTCCAAGATCCTCTTCCCCCACATACCCAGCACCTGCAGCCTCAGGAGCTGAGTCCTTAAAACTAAACTCTTGGTTGGGATAAGGTTGTCCCATTCCAGCAACAATTACGTTTTAAGGGGTAAGGTAAGGAGAATAAAAAAGCTACAGCCCAACAAATTCAAAAGCTGGGATCCATTATTTCAGTACTTTATCACAACACTTCAATGAGAATATTTAAAGACAGAAGTACTAGTGCTGGAGCAATAGGAAAAGAAGGGCCTACACTCTAATGCTAAATGAAAACCTTAAGCTGAATCTGCTCAGTCATAATTAGATTTTACAAGGTCAAACTCACAAAAATATCTTTGATCCTGAAACTTCTATGAAGAACCTTGATATTTCATCTGACACCCTACTGCCCTAACCTTTCCTCCTCAAAAAATGTTTTATATTAAACATATATAATTTGGTATTTGGTGACTAAAAAATTCTTATAACTAGAACCATTACACTGTACAACAGAATACATTTTTAAAAGATAGACATGTATTCGCTATATCTGCCTATTGTCTTTGGGTAAGTTGTCTTAGTCCTATTTTATTTTCTAAATTTCAGAACTGGTCATATACTACGTTTTGTTTTTTTTTTTTAAACCCCAATAAAACAAATATGGACTACAGGGATTAATTCTTCTCCTAATAAACACTTGTCAAGAATGACATGTTTTATCTCTAGATGTGATTCTCAACCTTTCATTTCTCCCTTATACACCTATGAGATCCTCCTACACTCCTTATTAAATCTGCAGCAGTGAGTGATTCTAATGAGTAGAGCAGAGGCTGGGAATATGCAGTTGGAACCAAAAGCCTTTATATTCTCCCCAAGCTTTTTCATTACCCAACCCCCTATAATCCAGATTTCCAATTCCCTGGAGAGACATAATCACCTTCTTCTTGTTTGCCAGACTTTGTCCCTACCATCTTCCCCACTCTACCACCATTCTGCTGTCCTGTTGCCAGGCAGATTGGCTTACCTTCCCCATGTTTGTCAGTGAACTGGAAGGCCTGAACTAGTCTCAGCGTCTCATCCACAGAGCGACCAACAGGGAGATCATTTACAGTGATTTGCCGAAGGATACCTTTATCGTCAATGATAAAGAGGCCCCTGGGAAGAAGAGATTGATGGCTTGAAGAAGAGACTACAAGTTTAAAAATTCTCTATTGTTAGAACAGAGATGCATTGGAAATAGGCTGGTCTTTGAGACTTACACAGGCCTTGCCCTTAGTGAGGAGGACACTGCATAAAAAATGACACCTGAAACTAATATAATCCTGAATGTCAACTCAAATTGAAAAATAAAAGTTAAAAAAAAAGAGAGATTATCATGCTGTATACCTTAAACTTAATACAGTGATATATGTTAATTATTTCTCAATAAAACTGGCAAAAAAAAAAAAATGAATAAGAAGTCCCTAAAGATCAGGGCTCTACTTTTCTCCAAATATAAGGTCTTCAAAGCCAATCAGATTATTCTTCTGATGAGTATCAGCCCCCGAGAAAGTATATACCTGAATGAGATGCCTTCATCGGCCTTTAAAACCCCATAGTCCTGAGCAATGGTGCGCTTGGGGTCTGACACCAAGGGAATGTTCATGGGTCCCAGTCCTCCTTGTTTCTTGGGTGTGTTGATCCTACAAGCAAAAGGCACACATACAAATCACATTCATTCAAACTCTTGTGTAGCAAATACATTAACTATATCTACACCTTCTCCCTTTCCAACATTCCTAATCACAATTCCCCAAAAAACTTCACTTTTCCAGCAGTAAAGTGAATTGCTGAGGACAGTCAGGTCATCAAGGTGTACTCAGCTACAACTCATGCGGCTGCTCCTCTGCTGCCAGGTAATAAGAAATTAAAAGGAAGAAGTCAGAGCCTCTGCACTCCTTCCACAAAGGGCCAGAAGCCAATACTTGAGAAAGTCTATTGCCAAAGCCTCCCAGTCTCGGTTGCTGTTTCGTTAAAAAATCCACATGCCAAATAGACCAAGAGATTTACCATGCCAGGTGACAGAAGTGAGAATCCACAGAAGCACCAATCACTTGGCAGTTCAGTTTCTTAAATTCTTCTGCCCTATCGCTGAAAGCAATGATCTCCGTGGGGCACACAAAGGTAAAGTCAAGAGGGTAAAAGAAGAACACAATATATTTTCCTGGGGGAGGGGGAAAAAAGCTCCAAGTTAGCCTCTGAAACAGACATTGCTTTATAGAGAATGGAAAATTAAAACATTTTCCTATGAAAAAACAGGTCTTTTTAAGTTGATGGCAGACAACAGTTGCTAAATGCCAAGATGCTCACACATAAATGTCTCCCAGCAGCTACTTTCAGAACCTCTTGCAGGAGGGCCCACATGAAAAAAAAATTCCTTCCAGTTTCATGCTTTACTTCTCTGCCTCCATATTAGCTGTCAACTACAGAACACTGTTCATTCTAATGTTATCTTCTCTGGGTAGTTAAAATTAGCAAAAACACCAAGTTCTCCAACTAAGAAAAGCAAGGACACTGTTAACAACTAGATAGTCCAAGGCCAGTAAGAAGCTAAATTACTGGATTCTCTGCAATGCAGTGAGACCAACAAGAGGAAGTCAGAGCCTTGGCACTTCTTCCACAATGAACCACAGCAAATAGGATGGGTAAGGCTTAAGTGATCACCTGAATCACCATAAACATGTTCCTAACAAGCCTGATCTAAGAACAATTTTATAGAACAAATGTTCCAAATACCTTGGTAGGAAACAGGACTTCTAGTTGGAATTTTCCTTAAGTCACTCAGAATACCAATTGAGATCTCTCTTCAACTGGCCAGGTAGCCTGTCACACTTAGTGGGCTGAGCTATTAGAACAATTCCAAATATTCACTTATTTCCAGATAGCCACATATTTAAAAGTCAAAAGAAGCTGCTGCTCTGACACTCGCTTTGAAAACCAAAATCACTGGAAACTCCTGTAAACCTCTCCAGGGCTTTGCCTAACAAGTACTTTGAAACTTCACAAGGTCAAGCCCTGGAGGGCAGAGAGAAGCTCTTTCTAAACCTCCTGCCTTTACCCTTAGGCCAGGGTCACCTCCCTACAGTGCTACTTTGTTTGCCAGAAGCTTCCCTCCATAGGGCCCCACTAACTTGCTCTCATTCCAACCACAGAAAGGAGAGCTGTTTTAACCATGACATCAACTCTTCACTGGGGGCAAAACAGTAAAGGAAATGTGCTTAAATCCTCTGCCTAATAATACAGTAACTATGACACACGTTTCATAAACTGAATGAGCAATGTCACAGCTCCAAACACAAACTCAGTCTTTAAATTATTGAAGGCCTCTTACAATGAGATAGGGAGACCATCTTCAATAGCAATTGAGGAGCACTGAAAAGATAACTGAGCTACTATGTTCAGGCATACTGAAGTGCCTCCTCCAAAAGCAGTGCGGACCTAGAATAACTACCGCGATAAGTGTTGATAAGGTAACAATCTCCCACTCTAAAGACCTTATCCTAAGTGATATAAATCATTTTACAATCAAATGACAGAAATACAGAAATCAAACAAGCCATCCCTAGATTACAAAATAATTCCATTTTAATGAACCTAATATAATTACTTTTACCTTTGTAGTCAGATAGACTGATATCTCTGAACTGACCATCTGGCATAACAGCTGTGGCTTTAAAATTGGGGGCAGGATGCCCAATTTTAGCATTTCCTGAAGACATCTTGCTATCAACTAGAAAAGATAAAAAAGAAAATGAATTAGGAACAAACTTTTTTCCAGATAAACAGCATCCTTCATCTACTTAGACTTAGCTGTAGAACAAAGGATTTGTCCAATGGTCCTGAATATATACATTCACTTTTACATTTAGTAAGAAGCATGAGCTGAGCTTTCCAACCTTTGAAACAAAACCAGACATTATATATCTCGGAATATCAGCTTTTGTTTTCATTTAAAAACAGTAATTTGTTTATAAATTGAAGTATCCCCTATTACTTGTTCTGAACCATCATTTGTGCAATGGCACTTCCCTCTATTTTCATTATGCAGAAGCGGAGAGGGGGGTTGGAGCCTCTGGCCAGAGTGCCTGACATCCAAAAGCCCATCACGTTGCCCTTTCCCTGACTGCGCCTCCAACTGCCTTCATAATGTGGAAAGCACACTTGATATTCTTCAGGAAGATTTGTCTGAGAGCACACACCCCAGCCAACACTTTTTAAGAGGCAAGAACATGATTCTGGCATCTGTTCAATTTCGAAACTTTAGGTGTTGTATTTAAGCCCTAGAAATCCTTTCAAAAATGGGTTTTTGACCCCAGGGCCAAGATTCTGGGGCAATAAGTAGAACAAGAGTCGATTTTTATTGCTAAAAAGCAATGTTATACTGGATTCACCCAGGTCAACGCCAAGGATTTAAGATTCAACCCAGTAAGCGCTATCGGTTTGAAAGCCCCAAGAAGATAATTTTCAAGTACCAAAGTTTTTGGTTTGTGCTATCGCAACCAGAAAAAACGCTATGAAAATCTTTTCATTGCAACAAAAACAGTAAGGCACACTGAAACTTGGCAACCAAATACAGGGTGTGACCCCCTAACATAAATGGCCTTCTCGTCCAAACCTGCTTTTCCAGGTGGTCCCCATCCACTAAAGCCCAGCCAATCCGGGAAAAGGCTGCTGGACTTCCAGCCCGTGTGGGCCTTCTCAGAGGATCTGACCATAACTACCCTGGTGAAAACCCCACTTCAGATACCTTCCTGCCACGCCCATCATCACCCCCACTCTAACACTTCGAAAAGCACCAGCAGAAAACAATGTTCAGTCTTTACCGAGAGCATTGTGGGATCACTACAAATCCCATTCTGCAGGAAAAATAAATACAGGTTAAGGGAACCTTAGTATCCAAAGCTCCGCAGCTAATCGCAGCTAATCACAGCCCAGGACCGGAGGACCGGAGGACCGGGAACAGGCTTTACCCCCTACTACACAATGGACGAGTAGCCTCAGACACCAAGACCAGTGAGTTTCCAGGTCCATTCTAGAAGCTTCTCGAACCGCCCAGCAGTAAACTAATCCAGGAGACCCCACCACCACCACCACCACCACCAGACCCCTCACCAAGTCGATCAGTGCCCTCTGCCCGGGAAAAGGAGACTCGACCGAATTTAGCCTCGAGGTTCACCCAAGATGCCCGCACCCACGGGAGCGGGGTGGGGGAGGGGAGCCACGTGAGGGTGCGCAAACCGCTTGACCACTCTGGGTGCTCAAGCCTCGTCAGGCCGCCTCACGGATCACAGCATCCCCAACTGAGCAGGGCGAGCCCGGAAGAAGGGAAAAAGGGAAAGGCGACGAACCGAGGGGTGTGGGGCGCTTCATCTCACCAAGGCCGCGCTGCCCACATACTCACCAGCCTCAAAACACAAGCAACGAAAGCAGTCAGGAAGAAGACGCACGAAGTTAGCGCGCGCAGCTGCCTTTATAGCCTGTCAGGCTCTCGCGAGAGTAAGAGCGGGTCGAAGGTGCGGGAGGGGGAGAGAAGAGGTGGGGGATCAAGCTCGAGCCCCGCCCCTACCCCAAGTACCCAGCCGGAATGACTCAGCGCTTTTCCGCGTTGGGGGCAGCCTTCCGTGCTGAAGCTACCAATCCCACTTACCGCAGCAGAAAGTTGGAGTCGGAAAGTGAGGCACACCCTCTTGATCGCATCCGTGCTCGAACACCAAACTCGAACACCTCAGTTAATTCGGTATCCCTGCGCGCCTTGCCCTCTAAGCCCAAACCAGGGTAAGGGTCCACTGCCGCCAGTAGAGGACCACAATTAACAACACCAAGCCCTGCGCACTGTCTATCCAAATATCTCTCAGATATTCCGCCTGGGTCCTCAGTACCCCTTAGAGTTTAGACAACCTCATTCATTGTCTTAATTACAGGATTACTGCTTTCCATCTCCTATCCATCCCCTCCATTGCTGCTAGAAGGAATTTTTATGAAATCTGATAGTGTCACTCTGCAGATTTGTAGTTTGATGAAACAGGCTCTGTAGTCAATTTCCTACATTAAAACTCACAGTCTTTTTATGTGTAGCCTTCAGACAGGAGCCTTAAACCATTAGCCTTACTTTTCTTACCTGTAAAATGAGACTACTATTCTTTGTTGAGCCCATCTCTGTAACTTATTTAATACAGTACCCCGTTCTTATTATACATTAGAAATGTTAGTTATCATTATTGCTGTAACTCTTGCTTTTTGATCGTAACACCCAGAACAATGTGTAGCTGTTTCAAACTTTCAGGCTTTCCTTCAAACAGGAAGAACCTGTTCCCTCCTAGTTGGCCTAGAGAAAATATCTTTAAAACTCAGCTGAAACATTACTTACTCTGAAGCTGTTCCTGACCTAGGTTCATCCCCACAATTCCTCTGAAGCTGTTCTGACTTTTGCTCACCCCCATTACTGACCATTTCCTCCTTCATGCCCAAACAATAGCCTGTATAACCAAAAAATATATATATATTTTTTTTTTGTTAAAGCTGTTTTACTTCTTTACATATCTGCCTCTCCTTGCTAGACTGACTTTCTGGAGGGTAGGGTTTGAGTCACATCCATCTCTGTGCCCTCAGGTCTCAACAGAGCACCTGATATAAAATAGCATTTAATAAATAGTATTATGTCCCCCTTTATGACCCTACCCCCCACTGTCCTACTAACTCCCTTGGACCTTACAGCAAGATGAAAAATAGGAGAGTGCTGTGTCATGCTGGTTGAGCATCTCAAAATTTTTGGTATTTATCATTCTACCTTGAAACAGTAGTGATTTTTTTTTTCCTTCCTTGCCTGAGGCCGAACAGTTATTTGACCATTATTCATTTCCTTCTTGAGGAAGCAGGGGAGACATAGATTTCAGAGCTTAATAGTGGATGGTTATTGCTAAGTGCAGATTAAAGCAACAACGATACAGTCCTACTTCAGCCAAAAGAAAATTATCATTTGTTGTATTTACCATGTACCAGGCCATGGGCTAGGCACTTAGGTTTATTTGTCTGATTTAAGAACCAAAAGAGTTATCCTGGCCCAGGAAAATAATAGTAACAACCTAATAGTAACATTCCTATCCCCATGGGAATATAAATAATGAAAGAGGACAGAGTTCTGAAAAGAGAAGGCATCTGTTGAACACTTGTCTAAGTGATTGTGGAGTCGATTTCCTCAGAGAACAGTGATGATTTAGGAAATGGTAGCAGAGAGGCTTTTTCCTTTATCCTTCTGCTGAACTTAATATATACCTCTATCCCCATTTTTACATATATCCCATTGTTTTATCCTCATTTGTTCAACAGTAGTGTGGGAAGGATTTTACATGTTTAATTTATCTTTGTGGTACCAGAACATAGCACAGTAACTGGCCTAGGAAATGTGCTTAATTAATTTTGGAATGTGTTGAAGATTTTTGAGATGTGAAGTTAACTTATTTGAACTATGTTTTAGGAATAGAACTCTAGCAGCTGTGTGATAGATGAACGTAATGGCTAGGAGACAAGAGGCAAAGAAACTAATTGGGAGGCTACTGCAATAGTCCAGACAAGAGAAGTCTCAGAACTGTAATATGACATTGACAGCAGAATGAGAAGAAGGAAAGAAAGGATATTTCTACAGGCCTTAGGATTAATTGGATTTAGAGTAGATAAAGGAAGTTCGGTCTGATTCTTTGGATTCTTATCTTGGTGATATAAGAATGATGTCATTAACCGGTGACATGGGAAACACTGGAAGAGAAACAGGTTTGAGATTAAAAATAATGCCAAACAAAATAATAATAATAATAATAATAATAATAATGCCAAACATTTATTGAATACTATGTGTTTTATAGATGACATGCTTGATGCCCAAGTAATTTAAGTAAATTGTCCAGGGTCACAGTCAACAGGTGTTGGAGCTGGTTTTCATCCCAGGCAGCAGAGCCATCATGTTGTACAATATGCTAATGTGATATTTAGGTAGACTATAATGTAAATGGTGCCTCCCTCGACTTGTGCTTTATGGTGGTCTGGCCAGGCTGTATGACTCTAGAGTCCACCCTACTACTGACTCTTCTTTTAAAGAAGATAATTAGTTTGGTTTGAGGCAAACAAATTTATAATGCTCATAAGATATCCAGGTGGAGGTGTCCAGAGGTCACCATGGAGATGTAGATTTGAGAATCAGCAGCAAAGAGGTTTAATTACATATTTATTGTTATTCTATTTACAGGAGGCCTATACCCATGCAAAGATGAATAAGACACCATCTGTTGAGGTGTTTTGAAGAATCACTAAATTGGATAGATTGAATGAAGAGTGCTGTAATTTATAGAAATGTAATGAAACAGATTTTGGAAAAGAGGATAAAGAGCCCACTTTGAGGCATGTTAAATTTGGGATTCCGGGAGAGAGGGCCAGTAGGAAGTTGGAAATATATAAACTTAATGATAATAAACCTATGGGAAATTATTCATCGTGTTATAACTCAAATACTTAGCAGCAAGTTTCCTGGCACATGATAGGTATAATAGATATTTGTTAAATAAATTAATGAATTGTATTTTTTAACATCATTCACAATAGCAAGGATACTTGAAACTGTAGAAATGAAATCCCTAAGAAAGTAGAAAGAGATAAGCTAAGACCAGAATCTCAGAGAATTTCTATGAGAGTGGGACAAGGGACAAAAGCAATTAAAGGCAACTCAAAAAATAACATTTTGTGGGCGAAGCATCAGTTATACAGATAAGCTATTTTTACCAAGAATAATTTCTTTTGGTTATCACCAGCAGCACTGAAGTTTAGTGTACCTGAAGTTTAGTGTAGCTGCTGTTCATAATTAAATGAGGCATGCAGATAGGATATTAAAAAAAAAAGAGAGAGAATGAAGAAATCAATTAGTACATATACAAGCTGCCACGTGTGAATTTTACTTAGTAACTTTTCTCTAAAATTCTTTAAATTAAAAAAATCTATTACTGAGTTCCTGGTGCTGAGGCCTTTATGTGGGGCTTTGTTAGGAAGAAATGCTTGCATGAATCATATTTTGCTTTATTTCTTAACAGTGAGGTCCTTAAATTTTTTCTCTGCACAATTCAAATAAGTATGACTCTTCTTTGCTGGGTAAGGCACTGATTCCCAGCCCAATTCTTCAGAGGATTTAGCTCCCGCCATCTATTATCTTACAGTAATTCTCAAATATGACAATAACATGAAGTCCTTTGTGAATGGAAAAATATTCTTGAGGACTCCCCCAATGTTGGTTTGATTTATTAACTTTAACTTTCATTAATTTTATTTCACTTCAATCAGACTATTTAGTATTTTATAGATTGCCCCAGAAGGCAATGTTGAAAATAATTTAATATACTATCTGGTGAAAATGTTTCCTTTGTTAATTACTGCTACCCTTACTGCTGATGAACTACTGCAATTTGAAATATACAAGATGAGTTTCCTGTAAGCGGTACCCTCCAGGAACATCAATATGGTCTTAATGCTATAGTGCATCTTCTGTGTTCTGCATACCAATATAGCCTATGCCTTGTGAGAGTGACTCATTTCTCCTACTATTTTCCTCTGTTCAAGCTAGCATGAAACCTTTGTTCATGCTAGTGTTCTTTGACATCATCTGGCCTTCACTTAACAAAGCAGTAGTTACATTACTGCACTGATTTGCTGTGGTAGACAGTTAACTGACTCATCAACAGCCATTTCCCCTTCTTAGCTAACTTGATACAACAGGTAAAGCAATTTAATATGAGTATAAAGCAGATGTCCTAGAGCAGTGATCATTTTAACATTAGGACTTACTAACCTAACAGCAGCCTGCCATATACTTATAAACCATTAAGGCTAAACCTATAAACATTAAAGTTAAACCTATAAACCATTAGCTATTAAAGTTAAATGAACTTGTTTCCACTCATATTTATGGTTTTTATTTTTACAAATCGAACATCCCAGTTCCTACATTTTTTTCCTCAATTTCTACATTTTTAATAAGATTCCTATCTTAAGTTCAAGTATGATTTGGCATGTTATTCTTCTGTCATTGTCCTGTTTTACACTGAGCTGCTGTTCATAATTAAATGAGGCATGCAGATAGGATATTGAACTCTTGATTTTAGGCTCAAGTTTACATCTTCTCACACCTAAATAGAAACATAATCAAGGCATTGATTTTTCTTCTTTTCCTTCATCTTACTTCTCTAATTTTAGGAAAGCTGAAATGAAATGCACAGACACAGTCCAAACCAGAGCAGTAAAGGGTAAGTACCCAAACTGGATCAACCATGGCATATTGTAAGCTAGACTAGCAGGGGTCTTGCAGCCTAAATTTATAGAATTGAAGTTGATTTTTACCTATAGCTACCTGATGCCTCAGGGACTAATGCTCAAATCATCCTCACAAACAAATCCTTATAAGCATTTATCAGTTATTTCTCAACTTCAGTGCTATCAACATTTTGAGTCTGATAATTCTTTGTTGGGACAGGGGCTATACTGTGCATAATAGGATATTAG